AGCTCACCACCGCCTGTAACTTCAACTCTAGGAGTTCTAACACCCTTTTCTAGCTTCCAAGGAAACTGCAATCATGTACACAGACAGACACACACACACAGACGATGTAAAGGCCCAAGACCTGCATACATCAGCGCAGTGTAGTTACAGCACTGGGTTGCTTCTTGTTGGGTAGTTAAGGGGCTGTGCAGGAAGACAGTACCACCCACTGCCCTCAGGTTTATACAGCCTCCTTCCCTGGAAGAACTAGCAAATTGAAGAAGGGTGCTTTGATGATCAGCTCAAGACAAAGATTGAGCTCGCTCTTGTTTGACTAATTGAGGTTCTGTGGAGACTGTCTGACCTGAGGCTGAATCGTTTATCTGAATTCATTCTGTCCAGCCAGTTATAACTAGTGAACATCGAATCCCAGTGTCCTTTTGAAAAGCATGCTGGGGTAACAAAATGGGTCTGAGACTTTTCTCTGTGCTCTCTGCTACTGCTCAGCTGCAGGAGATGCAAGGCTCTTCTAGGTAAAAACCACTATGCCTTCCACACACATATCCACCTCACCTCTCCTTGGAGTTGAGTAAGCTTGTTGTGTGTATGACAAGCTATAACCATGACAGGCCCATCAACAGGAAGGCAGGGCTGTGGCCAATGCTCAAGTGGGTGTCTTAACCAGGCCTTTCAGAAACAAGAGAATTAAAGATGAAATATTCAGAGTTAAATAAATGGACCACAAAATCCTCCTGCTAATATCCATGGCCACATCAGCCCAGACAGAATACTAATCAAACCCCAATAAAAAAATAGATATATGCCTTTGGACCACAATTCATCTCAAAAGCCAAGAAACATTCATCAGCCTCCCTGGTGGAGTCAGCAGAAAAATTACATAGCTGCTGTTATCATTATCCCAGCAGCATGCAAAAACTCTTCCCATTATTCCAGTGAGCCACTTGACAATGCAAAGAAACAAAGTCCTTAGCAAGGAGCCTCCTAAGAAAGCAATGTTCCCATTAGTTATGTAAACTAGAAATTTCAAATGTTCTCCTTCTCGGGGGAATCACTTGGTAGCTGCCTGAAACACACTAATGCCTGGGCTCCAGTTACAGACACACCTAGTGCACTGCTCTAGTAAGACCGACCCAGGCTCCAGTGATAGAAATCTGTGCCAGGAAGTTCCAACTTGCAATCAACCAACTGCAGCTTCAAGGCCACTCTAACACCACTGTATGTAGCGCAGTCTCAACTGTTTGGACCCAAGCTTCTGGGCTGTCATAATGTACTTTGTGCTACTGTTAACAGGATGTCTGAGAAAGAATCGTTTATAAGAGTATGTAACTGCTTTACAGACCTGGAAGCTGGGAAGTTTGGAGATCAAAGAGTTGTGCTCAAGGTCTTCACGTTGCAACTTACCACGGCTGCATGTGAGAGAGCTCAGCCACTGGCTGCAAACAACTGCAGCTAAGCCCCGCTTTTTACGCTGGTTGCTACTGGTTCAAAGCATGGACTTTTGGGGAGGATACACTTGAAACCATAACAAATTCTTAACCTCTAATGACTTCCCATCTGTTCCAAGGGCTATATTAGGGTTTTCTATGGAACACAATAAAAGGAATTAATGTGTATGTTACTGAAGAGGTCAGCCCAGGAACTTTGGAAAGGTCATGGGACACTTGCTGGATGTGAGAGGCTAATTAACATTCCTAAGTCAGAGGAGGAAGGGAGAGGCTGATTAACATTCCTCAGACCACAAGGAAGGGAACCCACCTGCAGGTGGGGAAGGCCCAGGGTACCATAGACACATTCTGAATGATGGACCAACCCTTGCCACTTACAGACAAGGGAAGTCCCTGCGACCTCATTCCCTAAAGACCAATCAGTTTAAAAGTCACACTGTTCTGCCAATCATGTGTCTAGTCACTGTTTGTATAAAAACTGACCAAATGGGTTGCCTGGGGTCACCACTCTACCTTAGGGTGCAGGATGACCCCAATGCATTGGGTCATTAAAATTCCTCTTGCTTTTTGCATCAATTCACGTCTCCACGTGGTTCTCTCAGGGAGTCCCCAGTAAGATAAGGCTCCCAAGAGTCTCACATTATAGTCCAGGCATCCCAACACTAGCTGTCTTGCATTAGAGGCCAAAACCCTGGTTGTTCAGACCATGAGGCAGGATGTCTCAGCAGTCTGACCTGGGCACTGGAGGATTCCTGGAGAGCTCTGGTCTAATGCTACAGCAACACAATAAACTTGCCAGAAGTGAAGGCAAGAAGAAAAAGTTTCCTCTTCCACATCCTTCCTCTGATATGGGTTGCCATGGTGGGTCTTCCCACTTCAAATCATCAAACAAGTCCCTCATAGGAGGGCCTCAAAGCTTGTGTTGTAGATTTAAATTGTCCTGAAAGACATGAACTACAGCCCAGAGGTGGTGGTGCATGCCTTTAATCCCAGCACTTGGGAGGCAGAGGCAGGTGGGTCTGGGTGAATTCCAGGCCAGCCTGGTCTACAGAGTGAGTTCCAGGACAGCCAGGGTTACACAGAGAAACACTGTCTTGAAAATATCAGAGGGGGCGGGAGACATGAACTCTAGCTAGCATACCTTCCAGTGACTTTCTTAGCTTCAACAAACCAGGTCAAACAAAATCTTACACACAGCACACCAGCAAACATTCCTAAATTAATAAGTGCTGAATTCAAACTGCTCAAAAATGAAAGCGAGTGTTAAGAAAATTTGGAATTCTCCAGAGACCTTGATTAGCCTTCATCTCCAGGCTATGGAAACCATTCCTGTAGTGCTGACACTAGAACTTGGCGGCTTTCCAAAGCCTTTACTTCACTGCATGTGCTACCTGAGAACACCAATCACAGATGACCACCACCCTCCAAGTGTCCACCCTCATCAAGAACTTCAACTTCCTCAAAACATCTTACTTCCTACCAGCATTCTCTCCTCCTGCTGGGTGAGGCTTACACATCCAGCCATGCCGCTGAGGACAGAGCTCAAAGCTACATCTAGTACTTACCAGATCAAAGTTTTTTCTCTCATGGGCTGGGAGATGCTCAGTAGTTAGAGCACTGGCTGCCTACCCAGACAATAGAGGGTTTGTTGATTCCCCAGTTCCAGGGATCTGATGTCCTCTTCTGTCTTCTGTGGGTACTGCATGCATACGGTACACAGACATACATACATGCAGGCAAAACACCTATACACCTATACACATAAAATCTTCAAACAAATGCAAAAATAATTTTTTTGAAAGAAATACTTTATGTGAAATGTTTTTCACTGATTTTCTTCTGTTCAGTTTCCCCAAACTCACTGCTCTCAAGGCAAAGCAGCAGGCTCTCAAGTTAGCAAGACAGAAAACTTGGTGCCCAACACTACCATTTTTAAAACACACTCATATTAAAATAAACAAAAGCACAGCATGCCCTGAAAAAAATGCTTTCTCCTCAGACCACTGTCCTTATTCACATTATTAATGGCAATCAGAAACACCCCATACTTTATCAATAACACAAAGGCAGGGCTACAGAGGGATCTTCAATTAAAAGCACTTGCTATTCTTGCAGAGCACCCAGTTTCGATTGCCAGCACCCATATGGCAGTCCACCAGTCTGTACCTCTAGTTCCAGGGGTTCCAGCACCCTCTTCTGGCACAGATGGTGGTGTACACACATACATATATAAATAAATCTCTTAAAAATAGAACACAAAAAGAGTGTTCAAGGTAGTTTCTAGTGAACATTTCTGAACTACTAGAGTGTTTTCTTTTTCTTTTTTGTCCTTTCTTTTCTTTTTCAAGACAGGGTTTCTCTGTGTAGCCCTGGCTGTCTCACTCACTCTGTAGACCAGGCTGGCCTCGAACTCAGAAATCCGCCTGCCTCTGCCTCCCAAGTGCTGGGATTAAAGGCGTGCGCTACCAATGCCTGGCTGAGTGTTTGCTTTCTTGTGCTTACAACTCTCCATCTCTAGAAGCCTTGAATTTACACAGTTACTTACTAATCAAGAGTGAAAGGCCAAGCAATGATGGTGTACTTTCTTCAGACACACTCTCCAGAGGCAGAACAGGGAAGCCTTGCTAAGAAAGGAGTCTCTCATTTTACACGGAGCCCAGAAAGCCATCTGGCCATAGGGACTGCTACCTTATAGTAGGTTCCCCAACAGTGTGGATAAAAGCCAGCTTCACAGCAGCTGATTATGATTTGCCTTGTGCTCTGGCAGGGGCATGGTTTGCCAGCTGCAGATAGTTCTGGGAAGTTAAATGGCAGAGCCTGGAGAGGGGTGGGGTACCCCGGGGAAGATACTGGTCCTGCTTGCTGTGGCTGTGGTTTGTAGGGTGGTCATGAGCAAAGAGTTGAGAAGAAATTAAAGATATACAAAGTGTCTTGCCCCAAGGAACTCACCCCACCATACTCAGCAGGAAATAGTCTAAAGAGTCTATACTCCCTTTCCCTTCTAACCTTCTTCCTCTACCTAGCGTTGGGGATTTGGAAGGAAGGCAGAGGGTAAGAACCCAATAAAATAGCTCAAAAAGTAAAGCTACAAAAAAAACAAAAAAAAAAAACAAACCACACAAGAAAAAGGATTAGGCATTACTTTGTAAAAATATCCTAAAAACGTTTAATTTATTCTAAATGCCTTATGAAACTCAGCATAGAAGCTTATTGGGGGAGAGGGGTTCAAGACAAGGATCCTGTTGTGTAGCTCTAGCTCCAGCTCTAGATGTTCTCCAACCCCCACCCCACAGGGTTTCACTGTGTAGCCCTGACTGTCCTGGAACTCAGTCTGTAGACCAGGTACGCCTCTGCCTCTCCAGTGCTGGAATTAAATACATACCACCAACACCTGCTAAGCTTAACATTCTTAATGTAATTATAATATAAAACTACCAAGAAGTATGAAGCACATTTAACTAACTATACCTACTACTTAGAATGTGTGCAGAAGCTCTGTCAAAGGATCACACATGTACTTTTCTTCAAGACTTTTAAATAAGAGATATGTAGGCATTTACTTTAGAAAGGGCTTTATTTATGTACAAATAATAGTTAACATTCTATCCATAATTTCTACTTTCCAAAAGCCAGTTTCTTTTGGGTTGTTTTTGTAAGATTTAAAAAATAAAAAAATAAAAAATGCTGGATATGATGGTGCACAGCTTTAATCCCAAAACTTGGAAGGCAGGAGCAGGTTTATCTTTGTGAGTTCCAGGCAACCTGGTCTACAGAGTGAGTTTCAGGATAGCCAGAGCTACACAAAGAGATTCTGTGCCCACCCCCCCACAAAAAAAAGAAAAGAACACACTAAACTTTGAAAGGCACCAAGGTTGTTCTGCTTCTAGATCACTGCTGGGCTGGAAGGAGAGGACAATCTTTTGGACAGATGTCACAACCTGGAACTGATCATTCTCCAAAGCAAAAATAGCACAATGCCATTCAGGCAAAGTCCATCAACCCAGCCTACCTCCAGCCTCACAACTGCCTACTAGAATGGCTGAGGCAGGTCAGACGGCCCAACATAATTCATCTGTGTTGTATGTTGCCATTGTGCAACTCTAAGAAGTTACAAAACATACTAGACCACAAAACAAAAGAGACTCAGGTAGACATAACAACAGTCAGTTCCTTGTGTGCCCTCCATTTCAATAACCCTAATAAACAGACTATCCCAATGCAAGGAAAATATCACATCATTTCAAATCTCACACTGGAAGATGGTTGGCTCAACCATGTTATGCCACAGTTCATGTCTTCATCCACACACAAACTTTCCTGTTTGTGAGATTGTGAGAGTATAACACAGTGAAGCAGAACGCGGAGCTGAGACCTAACACCCACTAGGGGAAGCTTTTACAGGCTGCAATGTTTAACAGGGAAGGACAATGAATCACCCTTGTCTGGGGGACCTTATGGAACTAATCAATAACTTAGTGGCCGAGAGTCTCCACTTTACTTCAGTGTGCACAGGGCTGGTTGCAGGCAGCACCATTAGGAAGCTTCCTCCATGTCCACGTCCTCCTGTAACTGCTGGACCATTTTTTCTTCCAGCTGCTTTCCTTTGCCTTTAAAAGATGCAGAAGATGCAATGTAAATACAGTGATCGTGTGTAAGATTCTCAAAAATAAACTCAAATTTAAATAGGAGAAAAATGTAAAAACAGGAACGTAAACATGACTCTGCAGAACTGATTCCAGAATTCTACAAAGTATCCTGAAAGCCCTACAGTAGTAGCCATTCCTAAAACGTTAGGAATACTAGCCAAACTCACCCAGGTCTTGGGACTGCATAAAGCATTCTACAAATGCATCATCTCAAAACTTCTGCAAACTCTATTGAACCATGAGAAACCAGACAGATTCATATGCCTACATCACTCAACTAGTGAGTCCATAACCCTCGACTGGGATGAAACTCTCAGCTACCTAGGTGCAGGGTCCACCTGACCAGAAGAGGGCTAAAGGAAGCAGGGTCTCTGCCCTTTCTGGGCTCTGCATCATATGCATCAGAAACTAACACCCCAGGATTTGGTCTACTTGTTTTGATGGAATTAGGTACTACAAACATGACAGAGGTAGTCCCTTCATACAAACCCAATCAAGACCTAATTACAGAGTTTGCCTTTACTAAAATTTAGTCAATTTCTCTCTCCCTTTAAGTAATCTGCATTAAGAATCAATTCTGTACAAGATTGTATGCTGGCTACATAAAAGACTAGAGAAATCCTGTCCCCAGGTAAGGGTAACAAACGGAAGGCTTTATTATAGAGTGCCCCTGGATCACCTGGAGAGCTAGAGGACCTTGGCTTTTGTGTTTATACTTGGAAGTTCCCCAGATCATTCCAAAACAAACCAAAGGTTGAGAGTTAGTAACATGAAGTGTCTTTTAAACAAAAGTATGAGGCAAACATCATATATGCAATTATTGCACAAATAATTTTAACTTAAAAAGGCATTTGTGGAAGAATGGAGGGAAGAAAGACCATAAGCCATAGCCTGTCCACAAGGTGGAAACACTGAGTGAGCGACACTTTATAGACAGACCGTACGACCAAGGCATATTTAGAGCACAAGCTGGGGCCCAATCAAACATAACCTCAGAAGTCCACTCCTGTCTCTCTACTCACCTGCAAGAGGAGCCCGGATAAGATGGATGTTCTGCTTGACCTCTTTGATGTCCTGAACCTTCTGAAGCTCTTTGTTTTTCTTCAACCTGTGATAGAATGCAAAGCCACACTTCAGTGACAAAACTTCTGAGACTTTACCTCCCTACCACAGCTTCTGCATTCGCTAGTGACACTGGCTGCATGGGGCACAGGTGGGGATGCAAAGGGCTGGCCTTCTGCTCCTTCCTATTATCCTTCCTTCCACTCAGCAGCAACTGCTGCAGGTGAACAAGGAATCGGCTGATTCCCAAACCTTATGTTTATCCAAAACTAAGGCAAAGCCACCTGGAGCCCTTATCAATAGATTTCCTCCTCCCTAGTCTATGTCAAAACTATGTTCAACTTCCTAATTAACAGAGTTTGTATCCTAGCAACCTGTTCATTACACCCACTGTGTCTAGTGCGGTGCAATGGGAGCTCAATTCATATCTGCTGACAGACGAGCGTCTGACGGAGGACTCAGTAGATGCCAGAGACCATTTCCATGGCAAAGACACAAAACTCTATCACACAAGGCAGTCACCCAACTGCCAGTGTGTGTGTGTGTGTGTGTCCTTCTTCCTCAGAAAGCATAATCTCCATGCTGTGTAGCTTTGTTTGTTCTTCAGCCATTACAGAAGCATAAAAGACACAACATTCACCAGAAGCACTGAGCTGTCCTCAAAACATCCATGCTCTTCTGAAATGTCAGAAAGCTGCCACAGCACGCTTCTGTACTAATAAGACTTTCACTGTGGCTAAGTTAAGGCTATTTTTATTTTGCCAGTGGCATATGGCTCAGTGGGCAGAGGTACTTGCCACCAAGCCCAACTATCTGAGTTCAGTCCCTTGGGCCCACATAGTGTAAAGAACCAACTCCTTCAAGATGTCCTCTGAGCATGCCACTCACTCACCATGGCATGTTCACACACATCATGACACACACAGACACACACAATCTTAGGCTCAGTGTGGGGCATACTCCTTTAATCCCAGCACTCAAAAAAGTAGAGGCAGCTGAATCTCTGAGTTTCAGGCCACAGAGAGCTATATAGTAAGACACTGCCTCAAGAGATGCAAAATTAAACAAGAAAAAAAAGAGAGAAGTCTGGATAAATGGCTCAGTGGTTAAAGCACTGCCTGCTCTTGCAGAGAGCCTAGGTTCTCCCAGGGCTCACATGGTGGCCCACAACTGTCTGTGACTCTAGTTCCAGATCTGATGCCTTTTTCTGACTCTGCAGGCAGTGCACACTCATTTACACATACAGACAAAACACTCATATACAAAATAAAAATCAACCTTTTTTTTTAAGAGTTAATAAACAGATAAAAGTGAATTTCCCCCCTCTAAAGGCAGAGCTCATCCCTGGCCAGGACAGGGAAAGTGTGTGCTGCCCATGAGACAACAGAGAACTAAAGAATGACCTGTCTCCACAGTAGGAGAACCTCCACTGGGCAGAAGTGGGCCACAGAGGACATCAGAACAAACAGCAATAGGAACCATACCCTCTGAATACCACAGACCCCGTATGCTGCTATGAATAAATGAGACTCTGAAGGTAGAGACAGGGAGAGCCTTTTACCACATTGCAACATTCCACCCTGACTGAAGCCAGACTCCCTGATGGAGGCTGAAAACAAGTCTGAGGAATAACAAGCTCTTTCCAGAATCTTCTCCATTATCAAACTACCAAGTCACATGAGCAAAGTCATCATGATGACCGGGGCACTCCTTCCAATGCACCTAGGTAAACCTAGCCACGAGGAAAAGCAGACAGACCTAAATGAAGACATGTTCTATACAACTGGTATACAAGAGTACAACTTGACTGGTATGTACTCTCCAAAACCATTTACACCTGTAAGACAAAGCATGACAGGACCTGTCCATGTGTAGGGGGCCCAAAGAGCTAGGACCAGATCCCTATTCGGAAGCAGAAGCAGCCTCTGCTGGCCACACAAGTCCTGCACCATGTCTGCTTCCTGTGTTTAAGTAAGGAAAGATTCTTATGTGGGAAGGAGAACCCAAGGCACGCTAAGCAGGAAGGGCACCGCACCGAGTGTTCAGCTCACTGTACGGTGACAGTGAAAAATGCAGAGAAGACAGAAGTGTTCCTCACAGTATTCTTAGGTTATTTTGGAAAATATGAAGTTATGTCAAAATAAAAAGGGTTTTTAAAATACCAATTCCTCTAGAAATCTCAAAATTCGGCTGGGCAGTGGTAGGTGGATTTGTGAGTTCGAGGCCAGCCTGATCTACAGAATGAGTTCCAGGACAGCCAGGGCTATACAGAGAAACCCTGTTTTGAAAAATCAAAAACAAAAGAAAAGAAAAAAGAAATCTCATAATTATTCCTCTACACATAGACATACCTGTTCATTATAAATTTAGCCTGGCGCTTCTGTTTGATCTCTTCAACTCTCTTCATTGCATCAACTACAAAAAAAATTACAGTCAGCAAAAATGTACACATATTCAACCAGGATGATTGTTAACAAGCACTTTAAATACTTCACTACAAACTACTGACAGCTAAAGGTATGAGACGTTAGCTGTACTCACTAGTCAGATTTAGCAACTGTATAAAACAGTTTAGGGAACAATGTTAGACTCCCATACTGTCTACATGAAATAAAAAGTCTGTCTTTGCGATACAATACAAAAGGTGAACAGAAGAAAAGTAGTGCAGTACTGCTTTTGAACAGCATTTTCAGCTGGGGGAATGAGCCTGTGAATACCTGAACCAGTCAACAAAGAATGAAGCCCGGGGACTAGTCATGTAGGGCAGAGACTGCTCTGCAAGCTGAAGGCTACATGAAAGCAACCATGGGGAGGAGAGAATGCACAGAGGGGACCTGTCACACACACACAAATGCTGCAACCTAAGAGTTCACATAGCAGACACCTGTAATACGAGCACTCAGGAAGACAAGGCTGTGAGTTCAAGGCCAGCCATGGCTTCACAGAAGAAGATCCTTTTAAAATTGAAAAAAGGAACTACATTAACACTCTTCCTCCCCACAAGCATCCCTGTCCACCTGGGGAAAGCAGGGAGGGGAGCGCCGCACACACAAGTGCTCAACACTTTCAGATTTGGGGCCTCTAACTTCATATTAACCCAAACAAGCACCTGGATGTACCCTTAAAATCTGCACCAATCGCCTTAAGTACAGCATCTTTTCATCTTACTGTGCAGGAAACACAGCAGACACCTGATCCCCCAGAGTAGCCAGTCTAGCATTCTGGGTCTGTCTATTTCCTAACCAGGTCTCACCTCACACCCCAAAACACTCTCCTTAGGTATTCTTTCAGAAGTCGTGGTTTTTATTGTGGGTGGACGCTTCAAGCGTAATAATTACATTATTTGTATATGGATACACAAGCCAACTTCAGAGGAATCCAAAATCAGCCAAATTCTAAAAAAAAACCTTATGACTTATAATTAAAGACATAAACCAACAGGACCGTTCACATGAGATGAAAAAGAGCCAAGCAATGAAGTAAGTTTGTTATTTACTAACAATCCAGCAGTTAACGTCACAGAAGGCCACCCCAGGACTTACTAGTTTTATTCCACAGCTCCCGCTGGTATTTCACAGGCTCATTTCGACGTTTTTCAAATTCAAATGAATTGTCCTATAAGACAGAATATAGGGTTGACAAGAAAGAAGGTAAGCAAGCATTGTTTAAAATGGTCTCCTTTGCACAAAAGTCTTAAGTGGACACATATTAAGACACTGTCCTCTTTATACTAGAGAATACTAGCTTTCTTTCTTTCTTTCTTTTTCTTTTTTTTCTTCTTCTTTTTTTTTTTTTTTTTTTTTTGGTTTTTCG